CATTTTAGAGTCTCTACACTTTATTTAACGATTAATTTATTACTAAATTAGTTGACGATTATTTCAATAATGGATTAAACCGATTAATTGTTTCAGACCCCCTGGGAGTTTTCCAGGAAACTAGTTATAAGGGGAAAAGCTGCATGGAGTATAAAAGTTGCAGACGTTGTCCACGGGTCTTATTTCCTCTTGGAACGTAGATGCATCAAATTTACTGAGCTGCTTTAAGTGGTTGTTTGGTCTTATTGACTAGAAGCTCAAAGAAATGAGCAGAACTGCATTGTAAACTTCCTTGTTTTCGTTTTCCTGATATTTTAAAGCATGCTAGTTATCGACAGGCTAAACTACTTTGTGCACAATTTACTCAGTTTTGATTGTGTTTTAGGTTATAATAAAATGTCTTGCATAATAGAAATGCATAAAAATTCTGATACTAAAGTCATATGACAAAACTAGTAATAACTATACAAGATTAGAGTTGTATCATTAAGAGATTAAACTAATAATATTACCAGAATAAACTCAAAGATTAAAGTTTCACCTGGAAAAATAGTTGTACTGTCATCTTAAAAACAAAACTAACATTACCAGTTTAAAAAACAAAAAGTAACGTCACCATGAGGACAAAGGCTGTAATGTTACCAAAAGAAAGATGTTTCACTTTACTCGGGGGGGGGGGCACAAAAGAAGAGAATATCATATTATAAAGTTAAAGAATTGGCCTTTAATTTAAACTCTTACAAGCAGAAAGAAATTTACTGTTACAAGTTAAATTCTGTTAAAAAAAACCAACCTTAGTCTATCTGATTATTAATCGATTCATTGAAAAAAATAGACAGATTAATCGATTAGCTAAATATTGACCAGCTGTAGCCCAATCCTCCAGGTAAATGGAAATCAGGTAAAAATAAAGATAAAATAATTTTATATCCCTCCCATGTTTAAACAACCGGACCAACTTTCAGAGAACCCAATTCTGTGTTTCCACCTCCATGTATTTAAATTGGTCTTAGTTGAGCAGGAAATTGGATTTTTGTGTTTTTAAAGCAGCTTAAATGATTTATAAAAGCTAACAGTTTGTGTAAATTATTAAAGCATTGCCTTCCCGTGTGAATACATAGAGGTGAGTTAGTCCTTCGGGCAAAAACAGGCTCTTATTTTCATGCAGAAAACACTGTGGACCTTAACATGTCTGACCCCGTTTCAGAGAACGGGATCAACTGAGGAAAAAAAAAAAAGTCAAAGGAGATAATGCATTTAAGCACTTCCTGCAGAGAACATCCAGAATCCTCCCATATGTTGCTCAATAAACAAAACAGAAAAAGTCTCCAAGGTTATGATCCTTCCCATACCCTTCCAGCCCATGAATGCAAATAATCCTGGGCGGGTTCTACTTGAATCAGTGTGTTGCTCACATCAAAATCCTTAAAGCTATAACATGCACATTTTTTTGTGTGTTTTTTTGGGGGTTTTTTTGCATTTGCAAAACTTGAGGATTGTGATAACTCCTGAGCTTTGAGGTTAGAATTGATGCACAGCTTTCAGTGGGTGTTCAGGAAAACTATGTGGAAGCCGTCTATCTGGGCTGGACGTGAGGTGACATGAAAGGTCTGAGGCGTGTCGGTTTGTTTGGAGAGTAATTGTAACTGAGACGCTGCTGTTGCTGCCAAACTGTTAGGAAGCTGAGACCTGAGAGCCCCTCTGGGCTACTCAAGAACTCAAAGAGAAAGCGTGGCTTTGTCTCTGATCACTGCAGAATAAAAGGCCTAACCAGGTGTTGTTCTCCAGCTGCACTCAAAATCCACCCCAACAGGAGCTGGACATACTTTCTGATCACAGCTCTGTTGAGTTTAATGATGTAAACAAGCGTTTAAGTTTCTGTGTTTGCGTCAGAGAGAAACTCGGCTCCTTTAAGCAGCTTCCTCGGCTGTAAAAGAATATTGCAGAGAGGCTTCCAGTAAATGTGACCTGGTGCTCACCTCTAAGTGAGACGTTATTCAGGAAATGTTTGGCTGCAGCGTTGGATCGTTCGTGTTTGCTGTTGGGTGGAGTTTGGAATGGGAACTACTCCGTTCTTATAGGTTCCAACTGGGGCCTGGAAAAGTTTGATAGAATTATGAAGTTTCTCTTTATTTTTTATCCAGGTCTGGATAAGTAAGGAGAATAAATAAGCAAATATAGAGAGATGTTAGTTTAAAGACTTCATTTTTTTTCCCAAAATAAAATAAATGATCCAGGTTTATTGCCTAGATGCTTTAAAGATTTTCCCATATCCATGATGGACCAGGAAGAGGAAGATCTCTCCTGTTTTTCATATGAATTACCTGTTTTCCACTGAAGGGACAAAGCACAAAGTCTTCTTATTAAATATTTCTCATTAACCGGCTATATTTAGCGCCTCAGCAACTTGCCACTGGTGTAAAATTATGGATGTGTGACTGTGAAAAGCATTATTTTTCTTCCTGTATTCAAGCATTGTTTGAGCTTCTCCCATGACTGCTCAGCTGAGCTCCACTAAAAGGACAAATCCGTCCTAATCCTGTCAGGCATTCAATGGAGCTGCCGCATAAAAGAAAAAAATGGGTTGCAAAGAAAAATATGTCTGTAATAACTACAGTTTTATAATGTGCAGTGCTTTTTGCTGTTGGTTTTGGGTCATAATGATGATTATAACATCAATGCAATGAACTGTGGCTGTTTATCACTTTGAGCCACAGAACATTTCTTTAATATTTAGATTTCACCTTTTTCCTGTTAGTTTCTGGATGGCATCTGTCTTGATTCATAAAACAAATGAAGCTAATCTCCTACTGATTAAAAACCCTCTCTGTTTTGTATTTCTGCATTTAAATTTGTATAATAAATATAACAATCTTAAATTGATTAAAAAAAATGTATTTACCCTTAATATGAGAAGGTAGATCAGATGATCTGCCAATGGAATCAGTATATTTACTCTTAAAATAAGATACTTGGATATGATGCATTTGAAATAAGAGACTGTAGTCGTTGTTTTTTCTTATTTTAAATGTTAATCGTCTTATTCCTCTGGCATAGTGTCTCAATTACCTCCTCAATTCAGGAAAAGAGAAGCAAAAATTGGTTTAGATTTACATTTTTTTGCAGTGTTAGATGCATATTTGATTGTTGATTTTTGTTTGGGAAACTCTCCCAATTATCTTCATGTAAACAAGTAAATGCCAAGCTGCCATGGGTTCAACAGAGAAGTTTATTTAGATGTATTTTTACATAATAGGACTGGCCAAGTAACTTCATTTATATGATAGCTATTTTACAAACTAGTTTTCAAATCACAGAGGCGCCCATTTTTGGTCACATTAGATCTAACAGGACTAATAAATTATCAGGTGGCGGTAGTACATCACACAGAAGGGAAGAGAGGGTTGCAGCTGGTGGGTATGCTAGTAGAAGTTAACATATCTGCTAGGAAGTTTGTATGTCGTTGGCATGAACACGTCACACTCACCCTATGATGGGGATGAAGTCTGGAGCAGAACTGATGGTTTCCTCCTGTGAACCCCTTTTATACCAAAACGCTGCCAATACGCTATTATACAGTAGCTGGAAGTTAGAAACACGTTGAGCGGTCGTCTGGAACACGTCGGATACGTTGACGTGCGTTGGACATAAGTCCTTGATAAGTTACGCATAAGTTATGCACAAGTTACTCATAGGTTGTGGATAAGCTGGACATCACAACTTATGAGAAACTTACACTTAACATCAACAATCAAATAACTTACCTCTAACGTAACGCCCATGTATGAGCATACACTGGCATACTTTGGGAAATTTTGAGCATGTTAAAAATTATCAACATACTTGCAGTATATGGACATGTGCCAGCGTGTTTCTGCGTACTTCAGCGTACTCATAACTTGTACAAAACTTACCCATATCTTATCCAATGGATGCCAGCGTTTTTGCGAGGTTTTCCATACATCAGCCATACACCGGTCTAAATCGTTAAGGTGTGAAAGGCTCTTTAGCTAAAAGTTGTTGTTAGGCGGCAAAGCAGATCTGACCCTTACTTGTTCAGACATATTATGGTTCTCGGATGTAGGATTTGATCTAGAGGGGTGGATTTGTCCTCGTCTTTACAAGGATCTCAATGGCTTCTTGGTCTGATGGTCCATTTGTCTGCTTAACAGTCTAAGACATAGAGGCTATTTCTTATGGTCAGGTCAGTTGTAGGGTATCTACTTTGTTTTGCAAACTGCAAACATCAAGCCTATATCTTTTGGGTTGGTCATTTATTGTTTGCATTGAAAGCTTTTGAATTTTAAAAACAGTATGGAGTTACATGTAAAACAAGGTTTACTATTTAGCAGAAGGTAGTTCTCATATTTCCATAGTTTCCATTAAACCCCATTTGTTCCAATGTCACTTTCTTTGTATTCTCCCTAAATTCTTTGTTTTTATTTTTCTTCTTGTAGAGACATTTCAGCATGGAGGTGTGGAAAAGCTAGAACTTCAGTCCTGAAGGTGTGGATCTATCAGGAGACGGAGAACGCAAAGCTTTCAAGGAGTGTGGACTCGTTTACAGTCGCAGGAGATGGGTGAGACGGAGGATGAGCGAACGGCTCAGGCCAGTCAGCTCTTTGAGAACTTCGTCCAGGCCTCGACATGTAAAGGAACCCTGCAGGCCTTCAGCATCCTCTGCAGGCAGCTCCAGCTGGATCCTTTGGACCACTGCAACTTCTACAGTTCCCTTAAGGCGGCCGTCAGCTCCTGGAAAGTCAAAGCCTTGTGGACAAAATTGGACAAACGGGCAGAGCAGAAAGTTTACAATCAGAATAAAGCCTGCACAGGAACAAGGGTAAGACCATCTTCCTGAGGAATGTTCAGAAACTCTTCTTTTTTCTTTAAGTTTGATTTGGGGTAAAATAGCTCTGCAGTGGAGGATTTTTTAAGGTTTCAGTAACCTTATAGAGCAAGGTAATAACATTCTCTAACCAAAACTAGTAAGAACCAGAGCAACCAGAGCCAGTTAGAACCAGAGCAACCGGAACTAGTAAGAACCAGATAAACTAGAACTAGTAAGAACCAGAGCAACTAGACCCAGTAAGAACCAGATAAACTAGAACTAGTAAGAACCAGAGCAACTAGACCCAGTAAGAACCAGAT